CATATTTGTATTTGTACTCTTTCCAAACGAAGCCTAAGAGTTTCTTTTAATGTAAAATCACTCAGTACAATACTGTTCTGATCATATTTGACCATTTGAGTTGGTTTTTGAGTCATGAAATGATCCTCTAGCAACATGCAACATGTGGCAAGTTATAGAGGCCATATATGGGAGGAAGAATGTTAGCCATTCAATATAAGCTTGCAACTACAAAAAAACATACGAGCAATCAAAAGTGCTTTAGTTATTTAATGCTTACTCCAATCATTTCTTATCTTTGTAGAAAAAACAATTTCCTATATGGTATTGTCCACTTGTGCTTTGCGCCTTTAAGCAATAGTGATGTTAAGGTCAACCATTTTCTTGACCAAAATGTCCTTGTTTCTTTGAATTTAGCCACTCTCTACTTTAAGGGTATAAATTGTAATTTGAATGCAGCTATTAGGTTCATTTTATTCTCTCTCATTAAACCTATATTTATGAGATCAACTCTCTTCTCTCTCATTTAATCCTATATTTAAGTTAGCTTTGTTTCTCATCATTAAATTGTATTAATTAAATTCATGAGAAAAAACTTCAATGGTATAAAAACCTATATTTTTAAAACAAACCTACAAATAATATCATTATTTTCAAGTGGTGGGTAAGTAGTACAACCATTTGAGTTAAATATGTCAACTCATTATGGCAAAATTAAATACTAAATTTTAGAAAATATATAAACATAAAAAAATCATAGAAAACTTTTGGCAGATCTAATAAGAAGTTATTTTTAATGATGGAAGAATACAGAATTTAAATTTAACACAAAAATGAAACCTTTTTCATATTGGTGTGGTAGTTTAGTGTGGTTCAGCTATTAGGGTTAAATGGATCAACCCATGATGTCATAGTTAAATAATAAAATTTTTAAAGTAGAAAAATACAAAGGATTGTGTGAATATAAAAAACTGAAAAATTTAGACAATTGTCTAATATCATATACCAGTCATATTAAACAAAAATAAGTGTGATAAACAATAATTGTTCTTGTTAATTATGTAAATGAAATACAAAGTTTAAAATCGATCTAAAAATGAAACCATTTCCCTATCTAGATAGTGAGTTAACGTTCCAAATACCATGATAAATTAAATATTAAAAATACAAATAAAAAATATTACAAAAATTTATAAAAAATAAATGTCTTTAATATTATATATTTATCATATTAAACAAAAATATGTTTGAAAAATAAGAATTATTATGATTGATGATGAAAATAACTAAAATACAAAAAAAGAAAAAAGTAAACAAATGCCTCATCCATAACCCATTGACCTAGTCAATTAGGTCATCTATTTCACCAATACACACCATGCTTTCATTACTTATCTTTATTGTGTGGGTTTTGATTAGAACACTAAAATTATTATTGTCACTTTTTTGGCTATTGTGCTATTATTATTATTATTGTCATTTAAAACTATCACGTGCAATGCAGATGAACACCTACTAGTAAAGGAGCGAGTATCAAGGCTTGAAAACACATGATATGCAAATTTTTCTTATCGTGCATCTCAACACTTTGTTTACTACCAAAAGCATGTTTTTCATGTTTTTGTTTTAAAAAACAATTTATTTCCAAACGAAATAATTTTCATATTTTTCATATTTTGTAGCTGACGCCTTATAGTTGAGACAAGGCTTAGATGATGATGATGACACTTGTACCTTGCTCATTCATCACAATGCAATATTCACTGAATCTTACTATAAAAATTGCCTTCAACAATAGACTAATCTCAATTCATACATTATCTTCCCAAGAGTAAGATCACTCAGTACAGTACTGTTATGATCATATTTGACAATTCGAGATGGGTTTTGAGCCATGAAATGATCGTCTAGTAAAATGCAACATGTGGCAAGTTATAGAGGCCTTATATTCGAGGAGGAATGTTAGCCATACAATATAAGCTTGTAAAGACAAAAACCATCCAAGCAATCAGAAGTACTTTTGCTATTTAATGCTTATTCAAATCATTCTCAATCTTTGCAGAAAAAAAAAATAATCATTTTTCATAATGATATTGTCCACTTGTGCTTTGCGCCTTTAAGCAATAGTGTTGTCAGGGTCAATCAAACAAGAGGCTTGGAAACAAAAACCAAACCAATTCCCTTTGAACTACGGCACTGCGTGGTAACAAAACAAAAACCAACCTTTCATGCCATTTAAAGCCCAAAGCTCCTTTTTGCCACCTTCTCTCTTTGTATTTATCCAACACTTCACTTCTTTTTCGACTTCTTCCTCTGAATTTATCTACTTAGATTGTCTCAGGGTTAAGGCCCTTTATCTTATTAATGTATTCATATTTGAACCAATTGAGGGTAGCTTAGTTGGTGCGTTGGATGCATTGTCCTAGTGGTGGTGTGGTTTCAAATTCTGCTATCATTATTTCTGTAAGAAAAGAATTGAGTGATCATTTGAGATTGTTGATGTAATGTTGTATTCTGCACTTAAAAAGTAGGGAATCTTATGAGAATGCCAAGCACTAATACCAAAAAAGTCTATTCATATTTGGGCATTTAGTTCAAGGCGTCAGCCCTTAGGTTAATTAATTATAACACTTCTTAAATCATTTTTGTCCATAAAATTTAGGTATTTTGCCCTGATTTCACATACCCAAAAATGAAAATATTGAAGATCATCAATACTCACACTTATCCATATTTCCAAACTGCAGTTTTGTGTCCATTTTATCCCTAAATAGTTAATTTGCAAAAGAAAATAAAATTGATTAATTTGGTCAATGACCAAGTGATTCCTCTAGTTCAACCGCTGAAACTTTTTTTTTTGTCTTTTTAACCATTTCCATTATTGATAACAATGATTCTCATTTATCACACTTTCATATGTGGCAGCTTTGTCTGATTATCAACTTAGACAATTGAACCACTTTGCCACCCCTATAGAGAAATGGTTCCATTTCTGGTAGGACTTTCAAGGCTTTGTTTGGATAAGATTTTGCTTTTGAGTTTGGGATACAAAAAACAGAATTAAGCCAAAAATTATTTTGAGCATTTAGCAACGGGTACTTTTAAAAGCATAACAATCTAAAGCCAAAACAATTTCATATTCTAAAACACAAAGCTTGGTGCCCATTTGGGAGGGTTTTCACTTTTCACACATTGCAAGGTATGGGCTCAAATGAAAACTCATGAAGCAATGTTTGGTGAAAAAGCCCGAAAAGCCAAAATAAAATGATTAGATCAAGCCCATAAATGGACGTTGGATGAAGCTGGTTTTGATAGCTTCTTCCAAGCAGCTCAATATATCAACACAATTCAATAATCAACATTAATTAAAATCCTCTCAAATGGGTTCTTAAATTGTGCTTTGTGTTTTGTGCTATAAAAAAAAAAAAAACTGAAATTTATCCAAACGCAATCTAAATCAAATTTCTTGGTGGTTTTCCTTGTGGGTGGGCAAATGTAAAGATGAAGATCAAAGTAGAAGACAAAGAAAAACTCAAAGATTGCGACGCAAAGGGCTCGCCCCCAACGGAGGGCTTTTTCCGATGTATACGCATGGAATTTTCGCTGTCGGAAATTAAGTATATTATTGGGGTGGCAAAAGAGACAATACCAAATTACCAACCAAGTTGCCTGGGTCGAAATAAGCCCCCATGAATTCATGCTCACCACAATTTCCAATCCCCCCACCCATTCTTTCTTTTCTGGTAAAAAGCGTTTTATTGCCCAACTACAGGGCAGATGTTTCAGTCCACTCATCGGGCGGCAATCACGGTTTCTATGTCATTAACATTCAATGACACCCAAAAAGAAAAGTTGATCCACTCACCCACTAACTCGACCGAGTTCACCAGGTTCCTCCCCTCATTACAAATCCCCCACTCAACTGGTCTAAGAAATTAAAACAGTTATAGCATTCTCAATTGAGCCAACTCCGTCTAAGTCCTATTCAAGCTTAGTTATAATTAATGAGCTTCCTAATGGAATCAAGGTTTTAGTTAGGGATGATGGCCTAGTATTCCATATCTTAGGGTTAAGTGAGCCTCCTTCTTTCTGTTAAAAATCCAACTGGTTTGTATTGTTATTTTATGTATGGGGTGATCATTTTCAACCCAGCCCGGAAATTCTGAGCTTGGGCGTAGGTTTTATGTTTGGATTCACCCCATTCTTATATATTATTTATGCTTAGTAATATATGTTATTTTATTTTATATTTTTTATATAAATATATTATAATATTACTCCTATTAGACATATTATATATAACATTTTATATCATTTAATATATATAATAAATTTTATACACATTTTGTGATAGATAATATATATAAAAAATAATTATTGATTCTTCACCTAACAAATTTGTCATTGTAGGTGAGAGAATCTGTCACAATAGAAGAGAGTAGTATGTGTGTTATAAGTGGGATTTTACAATAAAAAATTGTAAGATAGGATAATTGGGTAAAATATAATTTTTACTATCATGTATAAGTAGGCGAGTGACATGTAGCCCTTGTCACCGGTGCTAACCCAACCCGGCTTGGCCACGATAAACCCTATTTTTATGTCCTTCCCTTAAAAGTGTTTTTTAATTGATTTTTAATAAATTAAAACCTAACGGTAGCTACCCCTCCGCGGGATAAAAGTTTGGGGTAAAAAATAAGTGTAATAAGTCAAGCATCATTTTTTACGTTATTACGTTTAGACCGATCCAAGAGCCCGTTTGGAAGGATTGAAGTATAACGGCTTTTTGCTTTCGAAGGTGGGCCCCACACTAAATCGAGCGAGCCCCAAATGGGCTATGTATTTTTCTGTTTTCTGTAGGTAGACGTCTCAACAGTGGAAAATATGTACTTAAAACATATATATAAATATGTATTGTTATTTTGTTACGAAGGTGGGGGTACCTTGGTAATTCTAATCAACTTGGCTCTTATAAGAAGAAAGAGAAGCAAGTTGGAGAGTGTTAAGAGTTGCATGTTGGCTTCAAAGGCAGCGCTTCTTTCAGCTCTTCAATCTCCCTCTTCTTTGAATTCCCTTTTCTTCACCAAAAGGTATTTGATTGAGATCCCAAGCTCTTCCTCCTTTTCGTTCCAAACTGCAGTAACTGAGTTGTATACTGTCTCTCTCTCTTTTCTAGCAAAGATAGTAGTCTCTCTCTCTCTCTCTCATCTCTTTTTCTTCTTCAAAATATTTATTTTCATGTTTCAGTTTATACCCAAAACACAAGAAACATTCAAAGAAATGTGGCTTACACTTTATGGGTTCTTCTTATTCTTATTGCTTTAGCATTTCTCTGTAAACCCAAAGAAGAAGTTCTACGTACGGAATTGATATGTTGAGCAACAGAAAAGTTCTGAAAAAAAAAAAATAACTGAAGCCAGAAATGTATTTCAGTTTGGACCTGTTTGTGTATTGCTTAAATTGTGTAGAAACTTATCTACGTTCTATATATAAATACGAAAATAAAGAAGAAGAAGAAGAAGAAGGAAAGAAAAGATTTGGTTAGGAAGCTTTAGTTGTTTTGTGTTGATGTTTTATTTTCCACAGTTGGGTTTATGGATTTTATCATTTTGAAACACAAGGTGACGCGTATATCTTAGATTAAGAGTTAAGGTTTTAGTCTAATTTGGGTGTTAATTATTTCATTGTTGATGATGAAGATGGATTCAACGACGACGACGGGACTGCCGAGGACAAAATCAGATCAGTTACTGGAGATAATGGCGAGGAAGTCTCCCAGTAGAGGCCTGTCGAGCGAGGTCATCGCAGAAGCAGCGGAAACTGCATCGAGCCTGTCGAGGAAGTCGAGCTTTGGGAAGCGAATGACAGCAGCTTCGCCGGGGCGCAGTGGGGGTGGCGGTGGTGGTGGTGGTGGCGGAAGGACGCACATAAGGAAGTCGAGGAGCGCCCAGCTGAAGCTGGACTTGGACGAGGTGAGCAGCGGGGCGGCACTCAGCCGGGCCTCCAGCGCCAGCTTGGGCTTATCTTTCTCCTTCACTGGCTTCACCGTTCCTCCTGAAGACATCGCCGATCTCAGAGGCTTCAGTGACATCGACGATGAAATCCGTAAGCACATTAATTTCTCTTCTTTGTCCTTTTTTCCCTTGTTTTCATGGGCTGGGGATGGGCAACAAGAACACAGACAAAAGCTGGGGCTCAGGCCTGTCCACGTACTTCACTCACGAGGTTGGGATCACGGCTCAAATCTAATAGATTGTGTTTGGTAAATCGATCTGAAGCCCAAAACCTTACAATAGCTTTGAGCTCAAATCCATGAAAATTTGCTTCTTCTACTATTTGATGGATTGGTTTCAAGTAAAAAAAATGGTTTTTTAATCTTTTTGGAATGGTTTTTAATTTAAAAAATATTTAATTTGAACGAATTAAATACACCCAAATTAACTTAAAAATGATTCTTAAAATCAGAAAACTCATCAGAATGGGATGTCTAAATGCATGCCAACACAGCCTGAACCAAACCAGCCAAGGATGTACAAGCCAGTCATCAGCATGGGCCATGGCCAGTGGCCACCCTCTAGGGCTGCTGCTGGAGAAAAGTTGGGTTATAATTTAATTTCAAGAATAAATATTATGTCCAACATGCTTAATATATTATATATTATTTTTAAAAGGATATTATGCAATCTATATTTTTAAGGAAATCCCTGTATTTTTATCCAATATTTTTGAAAAGCTATAATATTTATTTATTATACATTTTTTTGAAAAAAAAATATTTTTCTATTTCCTTAAATAAAAATAATAATTCAACATCTAATATATGCTTTGTTAAATTATGAAAAATAAAATTTACTTGACTGGGACCCTTTCAGTCCTAGACCTTGACTCTGGCATGTGACATGTGTGACTAATGGACCTAAACCATATCCCTAGCCTGAATTTCTATGTAGGAGAGTGGTCATGATCACAGGAAAATTGGAGGATTGAAATCTCTCTATCTCTCTCTTAATCAATTTTCTTCCCATCTGTAATAGTGGGAGTGTCTCTATCCCTTCAACCGTCCTCTATGAGAATAATGATAAAAGAGATGGCCAACAATGGAGGGAAGGTTGAAGCCACAGCTGGCCAACAAGTGGTAGACCATTGAGTTGAGACATCTCTCTTTCTGTCTCTCTGGGTCATAGTCTCATAGCCTTCAAATTTGGTTTCGCCAAATGTCCGCAATGTTAACTACTTCATCTTTCCACGTGAAGTGATTTGGGGCTATGATTATGAGCGATAGTTTTTTGGGAGAATACCCAATCAGCCTAGATCAGAATTTTATAGCCCTATAGTATAGAAAAAATACATTCTGACCATGAATTGATGTCAAATTCACGGACAGGATGTGATTTATAGGAGGGGAAAGGGCTAATAATAGGGGGGACTGGAATTCAGAATTCTGCATCCGGTGTATTCATGCTTTTTCCGTAGTTTTTTTTTCTAGTGAGTGGCGATAATTGATCACTAGTCATGTGTAGGAATGGTACAGAACCTGACTAGACGTGTGGAGCCCGGAACTTGCCACATGTCAATGTACTAAGAATCAGGACCAACCATTGAATGGGTCCCTGCTAAATATTTAACAGTATCAAAATCGATTTGAACCATCAGATTACTCTTAACCGTTTAATTTGATCATTCTTTGTTAATTAAGTTACATTTTCCTTTTTTATTTTATTTATCATCATGTATGAACCTTTTTTTAAGTATCTTTTCATATATTTTTGGGCTCAGTTTGGAAGGATTATAAATATAAATATGTAGAGTGCAAAACTTTATATTTTATATTATTTTAAATACATTTCTATTGTATATATTTGTATTTGTATTCTTTTCAAACTGAGCCTTAAGCTGTATTTGATTGTGGTAAAATTTTATTTGTACTAATATAAATACAAGAGAATGCAAATGAAAAAAATGCAAATTCTCATTTAATTTTGTTTTGAGTTTTACTTTATTTTGCTTCATATCTTAATATTCTCCATTTGTACTGCATTCAAATAAAATAAGCTAAAATTTGAAACAAAAATATGTCAAAATTTACACTCAAATTATTTGCACTAGCATAATTTTGCATCAATGCAAATTTATTTGCATTGCAATCAAACACAGCCTATATATATATATATATATATATATTAGATGAGCTGATTACAAGTTTTGTAACCCATAACTTTCCATAAGGCTGTGTTTGAATCTGACCAAGCTAGCTGGGCCAGCTTGAAGATAGCAAATTTCCTCAAAGGAGGAAGTCAAGTCTTCATTTCTGCTTGTTTAAGTATCATTTCATACAAATTATCAAATGCTTGTAATCGCTCTTGGCTTGATACTTCCTTCTATGATTTTGAAAATCGGACTGAACAGTCGGACTGGTTGTTGATTTAGGAATTGGTCATGGTTTCAGGTCTGATTTTGAATCCCAAAACCAGGTTTCAGACTGTTTGACCCGGGAATCAATTAATGGTTAAAACGGTTTAATTTCTGATCTAGTTTTTAAAACCATGCCTCCATCTTTGATTACTGGCTACATATGTCTGTGCCAAGGATAATACTACAATATTGTAGGGAAGGCCTAGACATGTAATAAATGGAATTCGAATCAACTGAACGCTTTACCTGTGGAGGAGGCTGCGGGGCGGGACCAATGATAATGCCCCCAGAGCAGTGAAAAAATATATGGGGCCCACACTAAGAAGTTGAATGGTTGTAGGCCCCATGTCTTTTATGACTGATTATTGTGGCTTTTTTCGAACAACTCTTGTTAATCTTATCTATACTACTAATGAAAGAGCGAATAATCCCATTTTCTGAATTTTTTATTAGACATTTTTATCCCTTATCTAAGCAACATACAACTGACATAAAAAATGACATATGTGTCTTTTACTCTCATTCCAAAAACTGTCCACTTATAACAGTTAAGAAACTGTCCACTTATAACTGTTCACTCATAACAGTTAAGAAATTGCCCACTTATAACTATTTAAAAATTGTCCATGAATTGTAAATAGTTTTGTCTTGGAGATACTGTTATGTGCAAATGCACATACATGTTTACTAGTCTTTAATAAATGTCTATGAAGGTAAACATGCACAATGACAAAAAGCATTAGCTGCAAAATGGTTTTAAAGGCATCGTTCACTTTTTGTCAAATTATTTATTCGAGTAAATGCATTTATTCATGTTCTTTTATTTTTCATGTAAATAAAGTAATGACCATTTTAGTCATAATAACTTGTTATTAAGGGGGCGTTTTTTCAAATTTTGAGAGGGGGGAAAGTTGGCCAATGGGATTTTGGTTTCAATTGACCAAGAATCCCATTTTCTTTTTTAAGATTTATGTGGGGACTAGGGAAAGTTTGTTTTACTGAGTACCACTTACCCGGGTAAGTGATACCCATCTCTTAGGTGGGTAAATAACTTTCCCACCTAGGGGGAAAGTTGCCAACACTTGAATGGGACAAAAATGCCCCTTTTAATAATGGATTTCTATGACCAAAATGGTCATTGCCTTATTTACATGAGAAATAAAAGAACATGATAAATGAACTTACCCGAATAAGTGTTTTCTAGGAAAAACTTACTCAAGGTAATTGCATTTACCCAGGTAAGTAATTTATCAAAAAGCAAACAGGGCCTAAAAGGGACATCCCATCTAAGTATTGGCAATTTTCCCCCTAGATGGGAAAGTTATTTACCCACCTAAGAGATGATACCACTTATCTGGATAAATGATACTTAGGAAAATAAACTTTCCCCAGTCCCCACATAAATCTAAAAAACGAACATGGGTTCCTTGGTCAATTGGACCAACTTTCCCCCTCTCAAAATCCAAAAAACAAACGGCCCCTTATGGTGACAATGCAGATACGATTTAGATAAGTTGTTTGGGTTTTTCCAAAGCTTCTAACTTCTTAATCTATATAGCCTAAAACAGGTTATGTCTAATCGTAATAAACCCATAATCTTTAGTAACACGGCACACATGAGGGGCGTGTTTGGTATTGTGATATTGCAGAGCCTTTTTGCCGTCACATAAGTGTCATGTGGGCGTTTTGAGTTTACAAAACAAAACTCCATGTGATCGGGGAGAACACGTCTGCGCCCCACTGAGGGCACCCTACAAATGCCCCACATGCCCATCTCAGCTTGTATTGGGAACATCTCCTATGTGCATAGTTGGGATACATTGTGGGGCATTTGTGGGGTGCATATGTAAATTCGTGATTGGATTGATAAAGTACAAAGATTTGTTCTGCTATTTACCTCAAATTATGTGAAACTAGACCTGTTCACGGGCTGGGTAAGCTGACGGGCTGGCCCGGCCTGATCTAAGTCGGGCTTGGACAAGATTTCAGGCCCGCGGGCTCAGGCTCGGGCCCAACTTGATAATATATTATATTAATAAAAATATATTTTATATAATAAAAAATCATATATATAATATTTTTCTTCTCTTTTTTCAAGTAATAATGAGACTTTTCATTATTTTTTAGGTTTTGAGGTCTTTTAGTATAAATGAAACAACTTTTAATTGAATTAAAAAGAAAATTCTTTTTTTTTTCAAATTTCTAATCGGACTCGGTCTCAGGCTCGAGCTTCGAGCTTTATAATCGAGCTGGGCTCAGGCTCAAGACCTAGGCCCAATGGTTGGACTGGGCTCGGGCCTGAACATTTTTTGTTAATGTAAAGGTAAAGTCTGGCCCGAACCCGGCCTGGGCAATGAACAGGACACCACCTTTCAAGGTAACCTTTTGAATGCTATCTAGTGGTGCGTATTAGATTTATTTATGGACCGAGCTTCGGATTTAATTTTACACTGCTTCAAATGTTAGGTACGTACATTCAAATTTGGCAAAAACTATAAGTCTGAGCGCAGCTATGAATAAATCTAGTAAACAACAATAAATAATTGTAATATTTTAGTAGGTATTCCGTATCCATACCTTTTTTTTATTTTAATATTTAAATCAAGTACTACCAAAAAATAACAAGGTGAGTGCAAACGGCTTGAACTCACCTTGTAATAATTGTGTCAAGTCCCACGTTATGACTTGTGACCTTACAGAGATGATTTTACAATGAAGGAAAAGATACGAAAACCTATACAAAGTTTGGTTTTGGAGAACATCGTAAGTCCACTTCATTTAAGAATGTCAGATCACCATGGCATATATCGCAGAAGTACTTCTAGCCTGGTACAACAAGCTCCAGCGTTTGTGCTTTTTGACTTACGGAAGACTGTTTCCTTGCAGCTGAGGACATTGAGGCCGGGGCCAGCACTCGGAAGAAAGTTACCATGGAGCACACATTGCCCATATATCTCAAGGTAATGGTGGTTGTAAAGGATGGTAATTCTCCTTTTCCCTTGTTTAATTCCTGAATTCATCAAGTTATTTTGTGTCAGACGGGAAGGCTCACTTTGTCTGCGGTGCAAATTTAATTTGCACTGGTGTAAATGTATGAGTGCAAATAGGCTGCGTACGTAAATTGTGATTTGTTTTTGCTTTAGATTTGACTTTGTCTTAGAAGTAAGATAAAAAAAGTAAAATGTAATGACTTGCAGACACAGCGGAAAGGACACGAGATTTTACAGGAATCATGGAACCCATTGAACATGGCTGTAGTGGCCAGGTTCAGTTGCAAGGCTTTTCCCCTCTTAATTTCGGAGTTCCATTAATATTTTCCCCTTATTACACTCTAGTTCTGGTCTGGTCGAGGTTATAAAATGACTGGTGGGTCCTACTGTGGATCCCAATGTGAAGCAATGCACACCAAATTTATAGAGCCTCAGGTAGTGTTTGTTTGTATTGAATGGACCTCTAAGGCTTGATAAAATGACTGGTGGGTCCCATGTCTTTTATTCTTATATATCCAAACTCTCTCTCTCTCTCTACTAGTAAACCATTTTCTTCCCTTTCTTCCTTCTATTTTTTTCTTTATCTAAAAAAAAAAAGAAGACCACCCACAAATTAATAGGGGTATCACATGTAAAACAAGCCTTTTTTCAAATATCATAGTTTAACATTTAGATATTCAAACAGCTCAAGTGCATTTGAAGGTCAAAAAAGTTTAATAACAAAATTCTGGCCACTCCCATCATGTGAGTGACAAATCATATTATTGTGGGAATTTTTTTTATGCATTGACTAAGACCATTTTTTCCCTTCTGATGCAGTTTACAGATGTGACATACAAAGTAATTCTAAAAAGTGTGAGGACAACAGTAGAAAAGGATATCTTAAATGGGATTACAGGATCAGCAAGCCCAGGAGAAGTTCTAGCATTAATGGGTCCATCAGGCAGCGGCAAGACCACCCTTCTTAATCTTCTTGGTGGAAGATTAAATGAATCTGCACCTGGTGGCTCAATTACTTACAATGAGAAACCATATTCCAAGTCTCTAAAACGCAGGTAGGATTTCAGCATCTCAGTTTAGAATTTTGACTTGAAAAAAAAAAAAATCATGAGAGAAAGTAGATTAAGATGATTTTATGGCATGCATAGAAAACCATTGACAGCAGACATAAGAAAAAGTGATCTGTTGCAAGTTAAAGCGACTGGGGTAGAGCAAAAAGGACATGGGTCAAAATAATAACAAATAATTTAAGTGTTCCTAATTTTAACAATAAATACGACACTAAATAGTATAGAATGTTGAAACAGGATTCATATAGCCAACCCCATATAGTTGCGATTTGAAAAATAATAAAATCTCAATTCAGTATATGTTAAAACTAATTGGATGATAATCAGACTCTTATGAGTTACCATACCTTCTTGTATCATAATCAGATGCTTATAATGAAAACCAAACAAAAAGAAGTATGAAGCTTATTAAAAAAAAGAAGAAGAAGCATGAAGCATCAAGTAATTCGTGTACTGCCAAAAACCAAATGCTATAACAGTCAATAGAGAATAATACAGATCTGGTTTGGCAATTTGTGCCTATGTCCATGGATGAACCTTTATGATGTTCCACTTTATCAATGGATGAACCTTTATCAAGTAAATGGATAATTTATACATGATAAAGAAAATACCTAAAATACACCTACATGAATAATGTAAGATCAAGATCCCTTCAAATTAGGGTTACAAAGAATCTCAACTACATTGAGCTCGGGTTAGAGTTCAGACCCATTGAAAATTTGACAAAATCCCAACCCAATCCGACCCAAATTGCACCCCTACTTGGAGTGCAGTGCATGCCTATTGAACCAACCATTCTGTTCATTCCCCAGGATCCAAATTATAAACTATTGGAAATTTCTTGATCTGTCCACTTCCATGTGATAGTCATAACCATACAATTTAAATCCCACAAAATGGGGATACCATCTAGAAAACAAAGTAGCCATGAGGATGGAAATAATTAATAATTACATTGTTATTCTGTAGTATGTCATTGTATAAGAACTTCATTATATCTATTTAACCTCTGTTTGTTTGGGGTGCAAATTTAAACCAAGTACAAAATATGCACCCTGTTCAGTTTTTCATCCGTTTGTTTGTAATTACAATTAGCACTCCTGTTTGTTTCAAATTTTGTATTTTTCATGGCACTCATTGGCAGTGCAAATTTTACATCTCAAATACTGATGCAAAATTTGCACCACCTCCTCCTACCTCAATTCTCTCTCATATAAAGTGGAGGTCACATCATCCTGCTTCCTAGGTTACTCCCAAGCAAATAATCCTGCTCCTGCCTTCATTCTCTTTCATATAAGGTGGGAATCACAACATTTTACTTCTCACAAGCAAATAAGACAGAATCCAATCTGAAGCAAAAGTAAACCAGGATTTACCCTCAGACTATTTGCACTCCCATGCATTTACAATGCAGATGAAATTTGTACTGCAAATAAACTGAGCCTTAGTAGGTAATACTACTATTACTTGTAATATTTTCTGAGGTAAATACTGGATCCAACCAAACAGGTGAAAATTAGAGGGGGGAAAATGTTATTGCTTAACGTGAATCACATGCAGGATAGGATTCGTGACTCAAGACGACGTTCTATTTCCTCACCTTACAGTAAAAGAAACATTAACATATGCCGCTCTTTTGCGACTGCCAAAGATGTTGACAAAACAACAGAAAGAAGAACGGGCCATGGATGTCATCTATGAGCTTGGATTAGAGCGGTAATTCTTCTGTTCTCTGCCATCACTTAATCTAATTAGGAGTACATAACAATGAAGATTGAACAGCTATTCTTCTGAGGATCATTCATGGGTTATGACAATTCATAACTTATGGAGATATTTCTGACTGGTGACTATTTTTTTTTCTACTGACTAAATTTTGAGTGCTTGAAATGTTGTCTCTAGGTGCCAAGACACCATGATTGGGGGCTCCTTTGTGCGTGGAGTTTCAGGTGGTGAGAGGAAAAGAGTGTGTATTGGCAATGAGATTATAATCAACCCTTCTCTGCTTTTCCTTGATGAACCAACCTCTGGCTTGGATTCAACAACAGCTCTAAGGATAGTTCAAATGTTGCATGACATAGCAGAGGTATGCAGAATTTGGATGTAAGGACATTGTACTTAAAGTTTTGTGAACTTGGCCCAAGTCAACCATGAGTTGAATTGAGTTCTAGCGCAAATCAGTTTTCCTTGGGCACAAAAATGTGGACTTCAGAATGCACAAAATTTTAAGCAGACAACCTTGAATTCATTCAAAATATGAATGATTGAGCCTTCATAGTCCCCAGTTAGAATTGGTAAACCTTGATCAAAGGCAATTCTCATCATTTGGCCCATGCAAAAGAAATCATCAGTTATATATCATGAATAACTGGTTATAATTGCACCACATGAGACCTGAAATGGAGTCAATTCAAGTTCAAAATGAGTGTTTCAGTAGTTTCATCCCATTCCAATTTATGCAGAGAAAACCAAAAAAATGAACCCAATAATCAATTCTGAAAAAAAAAAGTTATGCTTAGTAAAATAGAAGCAATGCAGTAGTTTGTTGGAAGGTTATCTGGTTATATTTTGTCCTTGAACTCATTATAGCACTGTTTCAATCTTAATGGTAGGCCGGAAAAACAGTAATAACCACAATCCATCAGCCATCCAGCAGACTATTCCACAAATTTGACAAACTGATCCTTCTCGGGAAAGGGAGCCTGCTATACTTTGGAAAGGCATCAGAAGCAATGGTTTATTTCTCGTCCATAGGATGCTCCCCACTTATAGCCATGAACCCGGCAGAATTTTTGCTAGATCTTGCCAATGGAAACATAAATGATGTTTCTGTACCATCAGAACTAGAGGATAAAGTGCAGATGGGAAATTTGGAAACTGAAACAAGGAATGGGAAGCCATCTCCAGTAGTTGTGCATGAGGTAAAAAGTTGTATTTGAATCTCCAAAGGACATGATCTCTCTAAAAATAACAGAATTTAATTCACTTGGAATATTAGAAGCTGAAATCTTACTTTAAGTCTATACCAACATTTAGAAAATCAAGTTCTCGTCAATTTTTATGCTAAATTGTCACGGACATAATACGTCATTCTTGCAGTAACTAGAAAATACTAGGTTCTGACTGTCGCTTATGCTGGATGGAAACAGTACCTTGTGGAAGCCTATGAGACACGAGTTGCAGAGGAGAAAAAGAAGCTTACGGTGTCAATCTCCATTGATGAAGAACTTAAATCAAAGGTATCTTCTCCAAGACGAGAATGGGGGGCAAGCTGGTGGCAACAGTACTCCATCCTATTCTGGAGAGGCCTGAAAGAAAGGCGCCATGATTATTTGAGTTGGTTGAGAATTACTCAAGTTCTTGCTACTGCAACTATCTTGGGTTTGCTGTGGTGGCGATCAGATTCTAAGACCATGAAAGGAATGCAAGATCAGGTAATGACAATATAAGTTCTCAAACTTGTTGAATTTATCACCAAATTGACTAACCACAATCAAATATTTCTCAGCCAAGAAAGAGGCTACAAAACCCATCAAATGACCAACCTAGTAGGATGAACTTCAAAGTCAAAGTGCTGGTTGTACAGGCTCTTGTTCCATCTCTGAACTCTTCAATGCTCCCCCACCAACCCATCACAAGCACAGCTGGCATGACTCTAGTGGAAATCTTGAGGTGGTCCACAAACCTCAAATGTTACATGACATTATGTGGATTTGGGCGGAGTGGTTTCTAAAGGGTAATCTGGCCTACTTTGAGGTGCCACTGTGTCAGCCCTTCATGACTCCATCAAAGTCATCATTTCATAGCAATTTATTTTAGTATTTGCCATTGGCCTTTGCTTTTTTGTCTTCTAATATGCTGATTTGCAAAGAATTCATTTATGCGGTCAGTTACTACTAAGATTGCTCTCTGATGCCATTTTAGTAGTATACAAATGTTTAATAGTGTCAAATGTCTACATCTATGTACTAGTGCTTCCAACCCACAATCAAACTGGCCCATCACCCGACCAGAATTCCAAGTTGTTTCWCCACTGCTTGCCTGCAAAWAACTGTTGGCTTGGTCARCAAYCCAGTGACCCAGATGGTTGAGCAGCTGAACCATTTGACCGGTCAGCGAATCACGGGTTAGATATTAATTCTCTTTTTTCTGTTTTTGTATTTTTATCCATTTCTATAATTAATAACACTTATTTATCACATTTATTTTTGTTTAATATGATGAATATATAATATTAGGCATATGCCCAGTTTTTTCTATGAGTTTTCTATATGTTTCTGTAATTCTTTGTATTTTTATCTGTTTTATATTTTTATTATTTAATTATGACACCACAATTGACCCATTTGACACAGATAGTTGAACCACTGATCAGCCACCCAAACGGAAAAGCGGGTTCTGTTTCTAGGTCAGATTTAGATACACTGCTATGGATAGATTTGATTGGAAAAGCTGCTGCCTCTTGCTTGAGAGATTCTGTAGTCTAGAATGTTAGTCCTACCATGATCTGTAAATGAGATGTCAAAGACAGATCAAAATCGTATACATACTTGCAGACCACACATGGATTGATATTCATACATGTATTTACAACAGAAAAAAGGATTACAAATCTTTCCAACCATTTTGGTTCATTTAATCCCATCTAGGCAAATATCTCCTTGGAGCATGTATTTCTGATTTTTTTTCTAAATACCCCACTAAACGTTTTTTTGACTTTTCCCCTGTATGCTGTAATTATATAGCTCTGAGTCTCTCACTTTGATCTAGGTGATTTTTGTTTGAGCACCAATTTGGAGCTACTTTTAAGATCCTTAGGATGCATTTCTTTCTGATTTTGTCCTTACTAGTCTTGGCACCAATATGTTTAACCATTTCATCTCATCTATACTTGACTTATGCTGCTACGTTGATATGTGCTATGCATATGTTATTTGTTAAGTTGCTGCATTATGTGGCACAAACAATATGAGCATTAAGGGAACAACTGCATTTTGAAGCAGGACTAAACCTAAATAAAATTATTCATGGACATTGTACAGTGTGCCACTAGTTGGTAACTTGACCCAACACCATGGAAAGCAAAACTGAGAATGAAGCAAAAGATATTCTATTGTGTTAAAATTGGATACAGAAACAAGTGCAAATTTAATCTGATCTACATTATCTTCTTTAACTGCAGGCGGGGTTGCTGTTCTTTATTGCTGTCTTCTGGGGCTTCTTTCCTGTTTTCACAGCGATCTTTACATTCCCTCAGGAGAGAGCTATGCTAAGCAAGGAAAGAGCAGTAGACATGTACAGGCTAAGTGCCTATTTCATTGCTAGGACAACAAGTGATCTCCCACTTGACCTCTTCCTACCCATACTGTTCCTTCTTGTTGTCTACTTCATGGCAGGATTGAGGCTGAGTGTTGGTCCTTTCTTCCTAAGCATGCTGACAGTGTTTCTCTGCATTGTAGCAGCTCAGGTAAGTCTTTTTCGCAGTTAACTAATTCAAACATAAAAGGATTGGCATGATGTACTCAACCAGGACCAACCTAGCTGCTTTAAGCATTGAAACTAGGAACTTGAATGGGGGAGGGGATGCGAAGTGTTTAGTGTAGCCACATATCCAGAATCATAGACCAAGCTAGCATGTTAATCCAAACTTTTGCCAACCAAATTGGACAAAGCAGACAGGTCAAGCCCATCTGATCAGGTCAATGTAACATCTGAATAAAACAAAGTAAAAGAAACACATGATGGAAATAACAGAGAATGGGTTACATGCCCTTTTTATTTGGAAAGGGCAGATTAAATAATCAGATACATACATATATAATGGCTCACCAGCTCTTGACCACATTGACCTAGCCTGACCACACATCTTCCTTGACTTGCAGATTGGCATTTGATCACCATGTATGTTACTGTGCATGCAAATTCCTATAAAGGACAACATAGTATATGTAGAACCCATTTGGGAGGGCTGAAGCTTTGGTTGAGTTGCTCTTGCAGAGCTGCTTTGGAGAAACCACTAAAGAAGCTTTATAGAAAACCCAATATTGGGCTAAAAGATAGCTAATCTGGGCATTCCGCATTTCTCACCAAACATTGCTTGAAGGCTTTCCGGGTGGGGGTTCACCTTGCAAATCCAAAAGAAGCCCTCCCAAACAGGCACATAAGGTTTCCTGATACCAACAGTTGACAAACTTGCAATGGCAGGGTCTTGGACTGGCTATTGGTGCTACACTTATGGATGTGAAGAGGGCAACAACTCTGGCTTCAGTAACAGTGATGACCTTCATGTTGGCTGGTGGGTTCTTTGTGAAGGTATGAATGTGCCATTGAAACTATAATACCCTGGGTTATTTTTCAATTTTTTTTGGTAATAAGGTTATTTCTCAAATTCTACTATACTCTAACATAGGTGAAGGAAACAGCTTGGTCCATTCATAAGATGGATAATCGTTGCCTGTTTCCTAGCACATTATCTGATAACAACATTATCCCCCCCGCCCCCCCAATCCCAAGTCTCCTGTATTTTTTGTTTATGCACCGACTTAATTTCAGTTTTTGCAGGAATATCTAAGAAACTGATACCAATTTCTATGATTTTGCAGAGAGTTCCGGTGTTTATATCATGGATCAGGTATATCTCTTTCAACTACCATACATACAGGCTTCTTCTCAAGGTGCAGTATGAACACATAACTCCTGTTGTAAATGGAATGAAACTGGACAATGGATTGTGGGAAGTTGGTGCCCTTGTTACTATGGTTTTTGGGTACCGTCTCTTGGCATACCTTTCTTTGCGGAGAATGAAACTCCAATATGGAGCCTGAAAACAAGGGAGATTTTTGGAAAGGACCACATATCGAAATCTATTTGCACATTTCACTCTTCAGAGAACCATCTAATTGACAAGTTCACTCATACAAGTTCAGAGAAGAGACAAAAACAAGGACAAATGAAACAACTGTTTCAAGTTTTCCACTTCTAATGAGTGTACATTCATCCCATGTATGAAAAGAGCATGCGTATGTCATGACCAGGCATGCTGAAAATCTTACTGAAAGTAGAGAACCCATAAGACTGGTTTTGGATCATCTTCCACATTTTGTCAATGGAAGGTTCCCTTTTGAGATCATTAGATTAAAACATGTTGTTCAAACCAGAACTTCAAAGAAACGTTTTTTTTTTTTTTGTTTTGAACATGTCTTCTGTGTACTTGTTTTAATAACCAATCTGTTTCCAAAACAGATAGTTTTGATTCGTTTTTGAAATTCACAAGAAGAAAAAGTAATTCACATTGAAGAACACCTGGTTAGAAAGTATTCTCAAATTGCACACGGTACCAGGTGAAAAGCACATCAAAAGAATACCTAGAATAACTAAAACAGTGCAGAACAACCCTAGTGTTGTTGAAACATAACACTAAGCAAACCGGTATGTGTTTCACTTCAACCTGACACATTTAATCGAAAATTTATAAATGCACTCCCAATTCTACTATAGACTCACTCAACTTACTTAGACTTGCTTGAGATTCAAGATATTCTGATTTCTGAACGGAAAAATCCAGGAAAATAACCATAATGGAGAAGGAAAGATGAAGAAGAGGAACAAGAACAAAAATCGAAGTCATTGCAACAATTGTCACTGTTGCTTCCTTTTCTAATAACAATGAATAACATGAAAAAAATGTACTCTGAAAGGTGAAAGCTTACCAAATATCATTGTGGTCACACCCTTTGCACATGTGCATGGGGAATATCTCCCATAAATAAAAGGGGTTTTTACCGTTCAGTCCACCCCAGAAATCCTAGCTCAACCATACAGTTCAGGGTAGGTGCTAGCTTGAAATTGATGCCAATTCATGGGCAGGTATGGGTGTTATAGGTGGAGCTGTTTATAAATTTGAATTGTTGTAGGTCTGCAGTTCAAATCAGAATTGTGAGGGGGAGTGCAATTTAAAAATCTCTAAATAAAAACATACAAATATCGAATGTCTCCAAATAAGAATTTAGGATCTGCTTCTAGACATCCCATCATGTATTTGGAACATCTCCGATGAATAATAGTTTGGAAGGAGTACAAGTACAAATATATAGAGTGCAAAACCTTATATTTTGTATCATTTTGTATATATTTGTATTTGTACTCCTTCCAAACTGAGTCACAGGGACAAGTATAAGAGGTGTTCCCAATGTGCAACTAGTTGGAGTGAGGAGTGCTTTATGAGGAGCAGATCTGCATTCTACCAAGGGGGCGTTCTTTGTTGGTCAATGGGATTTTGATTCCCATTTACCAAGAATCCCATGTTATTTTTTCAAATTTACGTGGGGACCAAGAAAAGTTTATTTTTTTTGGTATCATTTACCCCATCTCCTAGGGAGCTCACATCTACGCCCCACAATGCCCCACAAACACATCCCCGCCTTGTATTGGGAACATCTCCCAGTGATGTCTCATCATCTCCCATACTTGTTATTGGGAGATGTTCTCAATACAAGGTGGGGGTGTGTTGTAGGGCATTGTGGGGTGTCCCCTTGTGGAGCGCGGATGTGAACTCATCTCCTAGGTGAGTAAATAACTTTCCCACTTTGGGGAAAAGGTTGCCAACACTTGAACAGAACAAAATTGCCCCTTTTAATATTGGACTTTTATGGCTAAAATGGCCAATGCCTTATCTGCATGGGAAATAAAAGAACATGGGTAAATGCATTTACCTGGGTAAGTCTTTTTCGGGGAACACTTACTTGGGTAAGTGCATTTACCTAGATAAGTAATTTACCAAAAAATGAACAGGCCCAAGAGATAAATAAAAAACATACAAGTAGGGGAGTTGGGATTTGTTCCACATAGGATTGTTCTCACAGTTTCTTGTAGCTATGCATTGGAAATATCTCCCAATGAAAAACAACATGCAAGTATTAAGATATTCCCAATGCATGGTTGCAAAGGTATGTAAGCGATGCGAGGACAGTTCTGGGAGAATCAAATCCGATCTCCAAGAAGATATTTCCAATTCACACTAAAAAAAGCTATGAGGATTGTGTGAGGTGTGAGGACCAAATCCAAGTTCCAATTAATAGCAACTAGCCCAATAGGTTACTTCCTTTTCTAATCACAATGTGCTATAATAGTGGAAATGTGTAATCTGAATACCAAACCGAAAAAGAAATTTGCGAAAGTGTCTATCATTGAGTTTGGATACTCGACCTTGAAATCTAGATATTGTAAAACCCTAATCTATCTATACCATTATAAAAGTACGAATGAGGGTGTGGAACTTTTCTTGGCTAAAGTGTCCACATTTGTTATTTAGCCCATCTCAAATTATGAAGGTTGAAAACATAATTTCAATTAATGTTTTTCACCTCATTTAATCACCTCTTATTAATTCTTGTATTTAAGGTATTAACTCTCATTCTCTCTTATTAAATCCCATATTTAAGCTATTTTTAACTAATAAATGCTACTAATTAGATTTATGTCCAATACTTTTTAACAATATAAACTCATGTATTTTAAAACTTAATCAAAAACAAAATCAATCGTTATCCAAGTGGTGACTAAGCAATTCAACTATCCAAATCAAATTAGCCAACCCATGAAGTCATAATTAGGGATGCAAATGAATCGGATCGAGTTTGAATCAAGGTATATTCAAATACGATCCAACACTATTCATGTCGATCCGATCGGATCTAATAGGATCCTATTTTAATTCAAATCCTATCGGTAACGGTAAGTCGGATCTAATCTGACATGACTTGTTTTCTTTAAAAATTAATAAATTATTAAAAGAAAAATAAAATATACTAATTTAAATAAAGAAAAAAACAAGAAATACAAGTATTTTTAATTATTTTCATCATATATATACATATTTTTATAAAAAATAAATAATATAGCAAATTTATAAAAAAATATATTTATAAATAAATAAATAACATATATATATATATTTATAAATACATATATATCGGATAAGATCTTCTCAGATCGGATAAGGGGGTGACCGAATTCGGTTCGATTTCTGATTGGGTCCTATTATCCGATCTGATCCGAAGATCTAAATAGGGGTGATCCGAATTCAACCAAATATGATCAGATCCCGGATCTTAGATCGGATTGGATCATGATCCGATCCATTTGCACCCTAGTCATAGTTATATAATAATGTTTTAAATAGAAATAAATATAGAAAATTACAAAATGTAAAAAAAATAGACACATTTATTATACTTTTATTAATCAAATTAAAAAAAAGAAGTGCAATAAACAAGAATTATTTTTATTGATGATGAAAATAAAATACAAAGTCTAAAACTAACAAAAAATTAAATTGTTTTCCTATTTAGTGAAGATCAATAGTTCAACTTTTGGGTCAAATCTATCAACATTTAATGTCATAAATAAATAATAAAAATTAATAAAATATGAAAAAACACAAAAATAAAAATACATAAAATTTACAAAAATAACATTTGAGCATATGTCTAATATCATATATTTATCATATTAAACAAAAAATAAGTGTATGTACAACAATATTTTTTCACACATATAAATAAAAAATTATAGAAAAAAATGAGCATGTCTATAACTCCATATTTACACTATTATTAAAAATATGAATAAGATTGTAGAATTTTTTTTGACTAAAATACCCTTTTTTGAATTTAATCATATTTAATTGTGCGGTTTAAACTAGTTTGAACTACAATTTTCATGTCATTCAATTATCTCTCTTTAAATCTTACATTTTTTTATAAATGAACAAAAAATATATAATAAGAAGATAAAAATAAGAGTTTAGCCAAGTAGGTAGGCCTATCAATGATACCCAAAATTTTTCAACCCAATATGAGGTGCTTATGTAATCTTATTCAGATTTTGCAATATGCATTCGATTAAAAGTGAAAAGCAAAAATATAAAAAATAAAAAATACATGAATTTTATAGAACATTTTGAATACATTATTCCTATCATTGTCTTCATCTAGAATTGCCATGTGTAAAGCATGTGCACACTTACTAGTATAAAAGTGTGGATATAAAGTGGAAGTTTTTTTGGACTAAAACTACCCTCTATTTATTTGTTTGATAAAGGGTATAAAAGTCATTTTATTATAGTTTTAATGGATACTAAAGTGTCCATATTTGTGTTCTATAATTGTAAGGGTTGAAAATGTAACTTCAATTATTACTTTCCACCTCATTTAAGTCTTATACTTGAGGTATTAGCTCTCATTTTCTCTTATTAAATCTTATATTTTAAGTTATTTTTCACTAATAAATGCTACTAATTAGATCTATATCAATATTTTTAACAACATAAACCCATATATTTTAAAACTGACTTAAAAACAAAACCATTGTTTATCCAAGTGGTGGCTAAGAAATTCAACCATTTGAATCAAATTGATCAACCTATAAAGTCATAATTAGGTAATAAAATTTTTAAAATATAAATAAATATAAAAATTACAAAAATTTAGAAAAAATTAGATACATTTATGATATTTATATTAATCAAATTAAAAAACTAAGTGTAATAAATAATAATTATTTTTGTTGATAATGAAAGTTAAATTACATAATTTAAAAATGACCAAAAATAAAATTATTTTACTGTTTAGCAAGTATCAATAGTTCACATTTTGGGTCAAATGTGTTAACCTTTAATGTTATAAATAAATAATAATTATTAATAAAATATAAAAATACAATAATGAAAAAATACATAAATTTAAAAAAAATCAGGCACATGTATAAGATCATATATTTATCATATTAAACAAAAAAAAGTATGTGTTACATATCTGAATTATTTTTACACGTGGAAATACAATATAATATATATATATAGAGAGAGAGAGAGAGAGAGAGAATTTGAACACATCTATAATTATATATTTACACTACTATTAAAAATCTGAATAAGATTGTGGATTTTTTTTACTAAAGTACTCATTTTGAATTTAGTCCCTATTTAATTGTGAGGTTTAAATTGTAAATTGAATCATGATTTTGAAAACTGGACTAGACCAGGTAGTCAGGCCATTTGAACTGGGAACTAGTCAAGTCTCTACGTCTGGTTTTTCTTTTGGACCAATAATTATAAAAAAACATTGAAATGGTCAAAGAACTGTTGACCTGGGTGGTCGAACCGCTAAACCGTTCGACCCCTATATTCACGGTTTTATTTAACTTTTTAAGGAAGTACAAATAGAGGAGATGCTGAATTT